CGCCGGGTCTGGGGGTGCAGCTCCGCCTGCCCCCCTCTCTGCCTGTGTCTCTCTGCCTGTGTCTCTGCCACCTGCCTGTCTCTGTCTCGGTATCTCAGGGCGCGTCTCTCCCGCGTTCTTCGGGCATCTCTGCGTGTTTATCTCTGAGTGTCTCCGACCCGCCGCAGTCCTGCGTCCCCCCTCCCAACCGGGTTAGTCTGGGGACGCGCTCTCCCCCCACCCCGCGATCTGGACAGGGGGGTGGGGGTGGGATAGGGCGCGTAACAAGCAAAAAAGAGAAGTCATCGTAATTAATGAATGTCATAATTAACCCTAATTATGTATGATCGTTACTCCTGCGGGAGTCACAGTGAATAAATTATTCCCCAGTGAAGTCAGGCGGAGCCCAGGCTCCTGGCGCTGAAGCGGGTGAGGGCGTCGCTCACATTCAAGCCTCCCACCTCCCCCCCCCCCCCCCCCCCCCACACACACACCACAGCCTCCCCCATGATCAACATCCCCCACCAGAGTGGAACATTTGTTACACAGGATGCACCTACATTGACACGTCATCATCACCGGAAGTCCATAGTTTACCTTAGAGTTCCCTCTTGGTGCTGTACAAACAGTAGCAACATGACAGTTATGAAGTAGCAACGAAAATAATTTTATGGTTGGGTCACAACATGAGGAACTGTATTTAAAGGGCCAGAAGGTTGAGAACCACTGGTAGGTGCTCACAACTGACCCGCAAGAAGTTCTGCGGGAAGCAACCTGAGCGGCCAAGACCTCCTTCTCTCTCCCTTTCGCCGGGTAATTTGTTTCCTCCCTGCTCCTGTCACCCAGAGGAGGAAGGCAGTGAGGACCAGAAGTAGATGGGGTCTTTGGGTGCCCCTGGTACCTCCAGTCCATCTGTAGTTCTCTCCTATGCCCATCTTCCTCCTCATTCCGTCTTGACCCCCACCCCCAGGATATAAGGTTAATTCAATGTCAAGGTCATCAAGGGAGTGACCAGGGGGAGGTGAGTAAAGCCAGGGTGGAGTCTGGCTGAGGCACCGCAGCAAGCTCCCCATCCCTAAACCAGAGGGACCCCGTGGGTCTTCATGTCCAAGTCTTCAGATAGACATTTTTAAAATTCTTTTTGTTGTTGTTGTTTTATCAGATATACATTTGACCTTCTCCTGGCCCCTTCTGAGAATGAGACCCTGGGCTCTCAGACCACAGAGTTAACTCCCCCTCAGAAAGTCAAGTGTCTACTGGGAAAGGAAAGAGGTGTTGGGGCAGGAGGCTAGTGCTTGGAATATTTGTGACAGCTTCTTTCCAGCAGAGGGTCCCGGGAGCGGAGCCCCATCCCGAGGTCCAAGGCCCCTGACCTTCTCCGTTGCCTCTAGTCACCCTGGACAGACATCCGCCATCCCCCTCCTTGCTCCCCAGGGACCAGGGGGTCTGCTTCCCACACCAAGGCCTGGCAGCTCTGCCCCTTCCTTAAGAGCTCCCCACAAGCAGGCAGGAGTGAACGCAGGCAGGGGCCCTGGGCAGTGCTGCCTCAGCAATCAGCAGGCTGCGAGCTCAGCTGTGTGGGCAGGGGGAGGCTGTGCCTGGCAGGTGTGCACTGCCCTCCTCCCTGCCCAAGGACCCTCCAATGCCAGTCACCTCTGGGTCTGAGCCTTGGATATCCCAGGAGCAGGGGCGGAGGTAGGGTGCACATTTGGCCTGGCCGCGCTGTGCCTTTGCTCCCTTCCCCTATGCCACCCCTTGTGAAGGGCTCAGTAATAACTCAATAGTAACAAGCTGGGCTGGGGGTCAGGAGGGCACAGGTGGGCAGAGAGAGAATAATTCAGGACCCTTGCCAGCCTCCTTCCATTCTCCTCCCCCAACCTGTCTCAAAGAAACTTCTATCTCCAGACTGTAGCAGTGGGGGAGAGGAAAGGAAGAGGGTTGGCTGCTGCCCACCCAGCTCAGTTCGAGGCAGGTACAACAGAGGGGGCTGGTACTCACCAGGCAGTAAGCCAACATTCCAGGCTTACTGTCAGTGTTTGGGCCCTCTGGGCATTTCTTGCCAAATCCATCCTTCTACCCACCCTAAGGTTGGGTCTCATCCCTGCATCCAAGCTACTCAGCCACCTTCCTAGTGTCAGCATCCCCTTTTCTGGGCCCCCATCCCATACTACCACACAGGGCCCGCAATCACCCCCTTTGGTGCCATCTTTGGGAAGACCCTGCCATGCCAGCTCTGCCATCTGAGTCAGCTTGTGCTAAGTCCACCAACACCCACCTCCAGCTGCTTAGTGCCCTTTCAGGAGCTGGCAGGAAGTGATGAGGTACCACGGGGAATTGAGAAGAGAAGGGACCGTCAAGGGCAGGGGTGGGGAACCTTTTTTCTACCAAGGGCCATTTGGATATTCATAACATCATTCTTGGGCCATACAAAATTATCAAATTAGCCTGCTCTATTTGGTTAAACATTTAATTAACTCACCCCTAAGGCCTTGGCAGGGCCAGACCAAGTGATTTTGCAGGCCTTATACGGCCTGCGAACCTGACATTCCCACCCCTCGTCTAGGGTATGGGGAAGGGGGGAGGAATTCAGAAGAATAGGGCTGGTGGTTCAGGCTCCAAGCCAGACAAGCTCCAGGTGCATTGGGAGGAATAGGATCCAAGAGAGGGCCCAGCTCACCAGGGTACATGGCAAGTTCTCCCCCTGCCAGGGAATGGGTCCTGGAACAGTGCGGGCACCGAAAAGATAGCTGATGGGGAGATGGGGAAAGATCATCTCTGGGAACTAGGAGTCCCAGGAATGGGGATCCTTGGCCAGGCTGGGCCAAAATGACATCGTGTAGCCAAGCCGGATGTCTCTGGAGCGAGCAGGCATCAAGCCATTTGCCAGGGGTGATGCTTCCTGCCCTCCAACCAGAGCCCTTGACATCTGCCAGCTACCCCAGGTGGTATGTGGGGCCCACACAGAGCCAGTGAGTTTCAGACAGAGTTGGGGTTGCCTTGGTGCTGGGGAACCTTTTGTTCCCGAGGCCTCTGGAACCCTACAGAGGTGGCTGGTGGCCCTGAGGCCAGGGGGCCAGTGGAAAGGAGAATAGGGAGGATTATGGAAATCCTGTGAGGTTGCTATGAAAATGATGACCTTGGGAGGGGGGATATGATTGATGTCTTAAAATATTTGAAGGACTGATATGTGTTAGAGGGAGTAGCTCTTTCTGGAGCCAAGGGAGGAACAGGGACCCACAGGCAAAAATGGCAGGAGGCAGGGTTCGGCTCTATATAGGGAAGCACTTTCCAGTGGTTGCAGCTGCCCAAAGATGGAGTGACTGTCCCAAGAGAGGTGTGCTTCCTGTCACAGAGGTGACCCACACAGACAACCACTCTGAGGGGACGTGAGGGGGATCGGGTAGGGACTGCTCTACATAGCCAGTCTTTCAAGTCCCTGCTAACCTAAATGGTGTTACTGGCCTGCAGACAAGCCCATAGAGCAACTGAGGGGCAGAGGTGAGGGCCAAGGCAGGGCACAGAGGGCCAGGAGGCTCCTGCTCACTTGGGCTCAACAGCTAAAGACACTGGTTCGAGTCCTGGCTCTGCTACTTCCCAGCTGAGGACTCGTGGGTCAGTGACTTACCCCTATGAAACTCGGTTCCTCATCTGAAAGTGGGGTCATTGTCACCACCTCAGAGGGTAGTGCCAGGATTAATGAGATGCTGCATAAAAAGTGCTAACTCACTTCCAGCTCACTGACAGTGACAGCCCCTTATAGCTATAAGTTTATGTTTTTGGACTCAGAGCCTTGCATTGCTTAGAGAGCATATAGTCCTACCTCTTTCCTCTTGGATGTAGGGAAACTGAGGCTCGGAGAGAGGAAGGGAAGTGACTTGCCTTTAGACAGCAGGTTTAGTTCCGCCCCCACCTCCAGCATAGACTTCCAGAGACCTCGTGTGTTCTGTGTCCACTGCCTCTGGGCAGCAGTGGGTTCCCTTGCCTCCCTGGGCCTGTGAAAGCCCCCAGAGCCACATTTGGCCCATAGATCACATTCGTGTTCTAATTCATTGTCCCCCTGGCCCTGCACCTCTGCCTCAGCGTGCAGGCATCCGGGGCCTGGGGCCCCGATTCTCACAGGCACACAAAGAAGCCCACAGTGCTGTCCAGGAAGCTGCATTTGGATGGAGCTGGGCAGCTCGGTGTGCCAGACACCCCAGGGTTCTGGCTTCACAGCTGGCAGTGGCACACCAGGCCTACCTTGTGCCCAGACATCTCCCTCTCTGCTCCCCTCATCCGTCTTGCTGCCCGATGACCTCCCCAGGGCTGGAGGGGCCCCCACTTCCATCCTCTTGGCACCACTGCCAGGCTGGCTGCCATGGCACACAGGCTGCCCGGTGTGCCAGCTGGGAACCCTGGCCAAGTCTTCCTGTCTGAAGCCAGGCTTCTGGCCCCCGTTTTCTATCACTGGTGGAAAGGAGTAGGCCGGGGTAAGGGGGCTCTCAACTGGAGGGGAGTGGGGCGAGAATCTAGGTAGAGAAGATTCCAGGTCTCACTCTGGGCAGACTCAAGAGTGGTAGGTTAGGGTGAGCAGTGGAAATAGCCCTGGCCTCCCTGCAGGATCCACTCTGTACTCCAAATGGCTCCATTTAGGATTCCAGCCACTTGCTCATTTATCAGCCAACATTGACCGAGCAGCTACTATGCGTGCAGGTCCTGTAAGGTGGGAGGCATCTGCCCCTGCCCTTGGCTGGCTCACAGTCCGTCGGGAGGATGAGAAGTGAATAACAACATAAACCTGATTGGAGCTATAACGGAAGTCAGCATTGGGCGCAACGGGCCCCAGAGGAGGGAGTGGCTCCACTAAATGGAATTCCTGCAGAAGGGACAGCTTCCCGGAAGAGGAAGAGTCGCTGGAAATCCTGAAGGATAAAGAGGGTATTAATTGGATGAGACAGAGAAGAGGACAAATAAGTCCATAGCTCAGAGGCATAAAGCACGGATAAGTCCAAGCCCTCGTGCCCGGGTGGTAGGCGGAAGGCTTGGGTTGGAAAGGCAGGTTTGCCCAAGTTGCAGAGTTTCATGTCTGGAGCAAGGGCTTTTGCTGGGTCCTGAGGAGCCATGAAAAGTTTGTGTGTGTGTGCGTGTGTGTTTTAAAAATATGTTATTGATTTCAGAGAGGGAGAGAGAGATAGAAACATCAATGATGAGAATCATTGATTGGCTGCCTCCTGCACGCCCCCTACTGGGGATCGAGCCCACAAACCTGGCATGTGCCCTTGGCCGGAATCAAACCTGGGACCCTTCAGTCTGCAGGCAGAGGCTCTATTCACTGAGCCAAACTGGCTAGGGCCATGAAAAGTTTTTAGCAAGGTCAGGGATCACCTCCCTGTGTGGAAAGCAGATGGAGGCAGCCCGGCTGGTGTGGCTCAGTGGTTGAGAATCGACCCATGAACCAGGAGGTCATGGTTGATTCCTGGTCAGGGCACATGCCCAGGTTGTGGGCTCAATCCCCATTAGGGGGCCTGCAGGAGGCAGGCGATCAATGATTCTCTCTCATCATTGATGTTTCTATCTCTCTCTCCTCCCTTCCTCTCTCTCAAATCAAAAAA